GTGGTCGAGGAACGAATCTGGTCAGCCGCCTTCGCATAGCGAACACGGAACACGCAAACCTCACCCGTGCTATCGACTATTCGCTGTGCCAAGAAAATATTATAAAGATGACCAGCCGTGATACAACAAATTGTCCGTAATTTCCTACTATTCTGCGTAACAAATAATCTCCGTTAGGATGGAAGCGATGGTTCTTGGAATCTCGAACCTTTTATCGTACAGTTTTAAACATTTTATTTGATAGTTTTGTTTACGAGAATCGGAAACGTGCGTTTCTTGTATTTTCGTGATATTTCGGAGAGACCGCTAATAGATACCACGAGTTATTCTAGGATTAATCTGCGTTAAGAGGAGAAGTTGGACTCGGATCGCGAGAACATTAACGCCTGTTTCATTCGACCTCTGCGGCAACTGGCATTTGTATCTAGTATTCGTATCGTGCATTCTGCAATTCTTGAGCTTCATGCCGCTAATCATCCTACTTACCATCCGATAAGGCGGTGTTTCTTTCGCGAAGAAATGCAAACGGCACGGTATTATTAACAAAAATAAGAAAAGAAAAAAGTGGAACACGTCACGTCGTAGCGTGTGCTTTCAGAAAATTGAAACGCGAAAATAAAACGTACAGTACCCGCTTATAAACACGAATATTGGGCTAAGACCGATTAAATTATTTTAGAAGTAAGTATCGCTATCATCAAAAAATTCGTTTCGACATTATACAATTGTTTCGCTCTACTTTCTCCTTTTTGTCTCCACTTCTGCATCTCGTTTGGTTAATTATTCCCCGTCGGGCTTAAATTTCACGCGGACAATACTTATCGAAGTGCCGTTGGTTATGCACAGCCGTCACGGTGGCAAAAAGTCGATTCTACGCGCGTTTCACGGCTCAAACGTTCCAGACGAGATTGTAATTGGCCGTCGTTGTAGCGTTTTAAATTTATGAAGTCGAGATTTCGCTGGCTATGCAAATGCGCCACGCTTGTACGCTCGAAATGTTTAAATACGAAACCCTTCCGAGAAATCGCAATCTTCTGCACGCAAAACGCCTCTGTCGACTCTCTGGACACACCACCTGTACGGGTTTTCCTAATAAACGTTATCGAGTCACCGTTCGGTCATCGTACGTCGGTCAACGCACACGTGTAGTTCGGTGCGTAGACCTCGAATATTTCGGGGCAGTTAGGCTCGAGGAACGGTGCTATTCTTTTCAACGATGCGTGAAATCGGGATGTTACCTGAAACACGAGAAAAAGTAATCGTAAAGAAATGGACGACACATCATCTAATAAAGTTTGATGTTCGGAATGTTGTTCTTTTTCGTAGCCAGTTTTTCATGGTTTTGGCTGATCGCGCGGCGAATCGAGGAATGAAGGCGAGGCTATCGCGCGAAGGTTCCTGGCCTGGTGCAACAAGTTCGGTGCTCGTTTCGCCGGCGTCGGTTCACTGACACTGGCGTCGATGCCGGCGAACGTCGGCGAACAAGAGAGAACGGCGTCGACGACGACGACGACGACGACGACGACGGCGGCGCCAAGGTAGCGTGGCTTCGTCGCTGTCCCTCGGAGCGACACACTCGACGTCGGGACGCCATCGTCGAAGGACGCATGAATATGTAACACCATCGTCGTTACCTGGTGATATCCCTGCGTCCTGAACGTGCCACCGCGGTGTCACTGGACGATCGACTTTGTTTCATTCGATTCGAATACAAACCAACGATTATGTCCAAGTTCGGTGAGGATTTTCTCAAAGAAACGCGACGGAGCATCGAGTTTACATTAATTTAACGGTGATCATGCTGGACTCTGACGCGACGCGAAGCAAACCGGGGTGGAACAGTGATTTCGGGGTGCGCTGAAGCATTCAGATGTCTGGACTCTGCTCTGCGATAGTTTGACAATTGCGAACGGACGCTGAAGACCTTACACACACCCGCGGTTCTAATGGATTTCGTGGCAAGTGCGTCTGCGTTTAATTTATTTATTTCCTAGGTCCTTCGATCGATGTAGATTGTTTCGTAGTAATTAAATTGGAAGCGGAGGCTCGCGTTTCCGCATAGGCGGTGTATCGTGCGTGCTCGTGACCTTACACTTTTGCAACCGCGTTGGGAGCTCTGTAAGGGTGAAACGAGAAAAACTAACGACGCTTTGCTTTCGCGTATGTACAAGATTATTGCGCGTAAAAACTGGAACGATTCTTCGTAATTAATTAGGGTACGAAACATCTCAGAAAAATCATCTTAAATTAACAGCAACGATCGTCGGAAATCCTCAAAGTAGCAAATTGGTCTCTGTAAGGGAGCAGCATTGCGAGCCTTTGATCTCTACCTATGAACGCGGTCTTCAAGGGGCGCAATTGCGAAACCTTTAATTTGAAACACTGAAATTGGTTTGTCGAGTAACTGCAGACTGCAGACTGACTTTTTCCTTGCAAAGTCGTGAATCATACTCTGGGATATCGCGAAAGATCGACGTTAAGTTGGCTATTCGCGTGGGATCGCCTACTCGGCCCGTGCATGGAACGCGATTTTCTTTAACGAGCAAGAATGACCAGTAACGATCGATTGATCTGCAGTGAACTGCAGCTATGAAATAAAAGTGCATCGTAAGCGTTTGCACCGCGATCGATCGGGAATCCCCGGCAATCACGCGACACGTGGACGTCCCGGTAGCGTACAACGAGCCATTTTTTTCCCTTCCCTCTGTAGCCACTTTGCGGCATATTCCGGCTGTACGTGTAAAAAAGGGAGCCTTGAAATTCTTCGCGGCGGAAAAATCCGACGATCCATCAAGTGTTTGACAAGCAAATTTTACGGAAATAAGAAGACGGGCCAACGGAGAGGAACGTCGACTGCCAGCAGTCCATCGCCGAGGTACGAGCTAACGACATACCTTTACGGTTTCGAAATGAAATTACCTTAATCGTCGAGATTGCATGGATTTATGGAAACGCGAAAGTCGATAGTGCGGGATAATGTTCGCGGAGTCACGTTTCCACGCGTGCTGTGCGAAAATTTAAATTTCGTTTCGTGCCGACTATCGATTTCCCTCGTCGGCGTATAAGAATTTTCATAAGAATCGGGTAATCGTTCAATGTTACACGACTTTTGAAAAATTAGAAAAAGCATCGAAAAGGTCGGGAAGAGAATTCGTTTAGCCTCCTCGTACCTTCAACTGTGAATACTATTAAGATAGAAATATATTATAGCAAAGGCTCGCGGTCTATTCTACGCGAGTTATTTTTAAAAAATCGAGTAAAACGATACGATTGGCGGACGAAAACGCAAACATGATCCGAGTGGAAAAGAAACGCTTGACGGAGAGTTGAACGCGCGGAGGACGCTGAACGGTTCTCCGACGATTGTTTCAGGAAGATTTCGTGGATCGCAGAGGATCGAGATAGGCTGAGGAAGAGGAGACAAACAAGAGCAGGCGAGGGGCGGCGGCCTTGCGCGGATGATCGCTGCTGAAAATCAGTCGAGTTCGCGTGCCGGCTCCAGGCTGGGGCAGTACGAGGAAGTAGCGGGCGACGGAAGCGTGGGTGGCGGCAACGAGAGTGGTGGAGCCGTTGAGACCACTACCTCGGAGCCAGGTGAGAGTTAATTACCTTACAGATTACGATCGTCGTTAAAAAAAATTATATAACAAACCAATGACCAGATCCTCGAAGAGATACTCCTCGTAAAAGGCGTGGCGAACGAGGCAGGTAATAATTACTCGCGTCCTTGAAGCTTTTAGCGGGATTCGTAAAGCTTTCTTTGGTGATTAAACGAACGCAACTTCCAAGTATTCTTTTATACGATAACTACCGGCCATTCTTAACATCGATACGTAACAAAAAGATGCCGCTTTAATCTATAAACTGCGCGTAAACGTTACGCGAGAGTTTCATTCTTTCGAGAATCTCTGCTTGAGACACGTGCTCGTGGGAACTCGTATGCACCTCGCTGAATTGTTTTTATCGTCCCGAGTATGTATATAGAACTCTGCGCAGGTGTAATGAAGAAAGAGGAGCAGGAGGCGCCACGAAACGAGAACTCAACGAAAGAGACGAACAGCGCAGCAACGGTAACTACACCTAGCGGCGTCGCGACTACGAGCACGACGTCTTCGACGATGCCTGGTGGAGGCGCTCGCAGCGATGAGGAGCAGGAGCAAGAGGAGGAGGAGGAGGAGGCCGAGGAAGAGGAGGAGGACGACGAGGAGGATGGAGTGGAAGTGGAGGGTGGAGCGGCGCAGGAGGCGGTCGGTGGAGGACTCGTTGGTAGCGAGGGTGGGGGTGGAGGCGGCATGGCCGGCTTCTGGAGGCAGAGCAGACCCTCCAGTCCCCGCATGCCGCCTCCGGAGCAGCCGGAGCACAGGCCTAAGAGCCGACACGAGCCGGCGCCCGCGAGATACAACAACCTTGGCTACTGGAGGGCGAGAAGAGTCACTTTCTACAAGAATGGCGACCCGTACTTTCCTGGTATCGAATTCAGGTGAGTCTACCGACGCAGTTCCCCTCTTCTACGCTGATTGTCTTGTTGCACGAGTCTCCGACACCTCGCGTTAGTACTAGTACCCTTCTCGGCTGCAGGTGGCGTGTCCACCCCCTTGGCCTTGATCACTCCTATGAATGAGATCCTCTCTTAGCAATTAAAGATATTCGTTACGAATGGCTCGATATGTAATCCTGCGATGCTTACCCACGACGAAATTGCAGGTTCAAGCCCGGACGAGATATCGGATCTCTGGAGGCCCTCTTGGATAGGCTGTCCCTCCGGATGGACCTGCCGCGAGGAGCTCGACACATCTTCTCCATGGACGGCGATCGCAAGCTCACCCTGGACGAGCTCGAGGATGGCGCATCGTACGTGGTATCCAGTTACAAGTCCTTCAAGGTAAGAGAACGATGCTCGTTAAAGATTTTCGATCGAAGCAGAGGTCCCCGAGCCGTTGTAATCGCGGCCAATCGGAGGAAAACAGATTTTCGATCGCGTTACGCAATCCGCGGTCCCCTGTGAAATTAGTCGGAGAAAAAACGGGGCTGTTAATCGCTGGTAGCGGGAAAGTGGGTCGTTCGATCTGATACATTGCACGAAGAAGAAATAAGGTCCTCGAGACACAGGATCGCGTGTATGTGTGTAGATCAAATCTCGCCGCGCCCGTTCAGGTAATAACCCCTTCTCCCGAGCGAACCAGAGAGAACCGATCTGGTTACGAGGGCGATAATTCCACGCGTGCGAGAACTTGTCGCAAAAGTAAATAGTCTTTCTGGCTGGCGTCGACCCTATCGTTTGGTATAATTCATACGATAGAGGGTGGGTCAGACGGACGTTGCACATTCTTAATATTCATGAGGTCGAGTGATTGCGTTCAGTTGGACGTAAACGTTGCCAGTGGCGCGTGGCACGCATCGTTCGAGCGTGTGGACCGCTCGACGACTTCCAGTTTCAGAGCGCCCAGGACGCGATATGGCAATTTATAAGAAATCTGCGTATATTACCGGCCGTAATCTTTGTAAATCTGGCCCAGATCGGGCTTTAAGCAGGCCACACGCAACGCGAATCCGATTGGCTACCTAAAAAGAACGCGCCGTTGCGACTATTATTGCTGGCTACTATCGAGGTAATTATGGTTTCGAGCGCGTAAAAATTGCGATACCTCCGAGAATTTCACGAGGGAAACGACCGTATATAATATCGAAATTTGTATTCCTCGAAAAGTTTTAGCACGTCTCTGGCTTCGGAGGACTCGAAAGTTGATCGAGCTTGTTCTAACGCGAGCACACTTAAGGATTGGTTCTCAGAAAAACGGTTCAATTAACGCTCGACCCTTTCAGCTTGATTCCTCTGGAAGGTTGTTCATTATCTCGATGAAGGCGCCGATAGGAAGGATCGGTTTCATCCGTTGCGTCATTCGACGCTAAGGGTGGCCCACGCCCAGCCTGATTTCCAGTTTTAAGGTGTGACCATGCCGCTCGTTGCACACGTATGGCACCTGGTCGTGCACGATCCGTTATTTCGATCGGACTAAGTCTCGTGTCGGGTCAACTCTTAATCCTGCAAAGTGGCCGAAGCTTGTGCACGATGTTATCGTTCTACGACCAACTTTGCATGCCGATCCGTTGGATTGAAGTCTACGGGAATCGGTGTTCGCACATCCGTGACCCATATCCGGTCGAACGAGCTCGGCTGAACCTTGACCCGTATTCCTGAAACAGAAATCGATATCGAAAGTACGGACAGATTTCTACCGTTGACCGTTACCATATTTATACTATTTCGTTTGATCTTACGTTAGGCAAAACGCTTCCGGGACGGATTATTTTTGGACGTTTTTGTTTCTATACATCGCAACTATTCTCGTTTATCGTTATCGTTTTGCTTGTTATTTGGGATGACTCGTAGTCCCACGATCGAACGACCGAACCGAATTTGCTTACTCCGCGTAGGGTGATTTGTCCGTTGTTTACCAAAGCCACGTGGCACAGAAGATCGAGGTCCCGCGTAGGCGAATCTTGCGGTTAAGTGGCGGGGATAGGAGCGTTCCACTTGGTCGAGAAGTGGGAGTATCGCCATAGGGTCGAGCGCAAAGGAGGGTAAAAGGGCTGGCCAGCTGGGGTTTGCGGTTGCGCACGGCTAGCCCTCCTCTTCTCTACGCTTTTCGATCCTTCCTTTCGTCCCTTGTCTTTGCTCGCGTCCAAATGGTACGCTGTCCCGTTTTACTCGACGTCTCGTTATCGTTCCATGCGTCGGCGTCGTCTGCATATATTTGCTTCAGCGCTCGCGATAACGCGGCTGGTACAGTCGAAGGGGACTTTTTCGTTTCGTCGTCTCTCGCCTTCCCGTCGTCGCGACCTGAATTTCTTTACGACCAGCTGTCATTAAAATACCTAATCCCCGCGGGATCTAGCGCCACAGAACCGAATTAATAAGGGCGAGAAGTGGGTTGGAGGCTTCGATCGCGCGTTAATTTGCACTTTTCATGTTTTCCGACTAGCTTTTTTCGCGCTGCACCGAGCAGTCGAGGACGGTTGGTAGTTCTTCTCGGACGGTTCTAAATACGCGTCCATCTTGCATGGAAAACATAGGACGGTTGTCTCGAGTATCGGAGTCATCCGGCGATTTTGTACGCGTTCGACGGTCTTCGAAGAGGCATGAATCACGGAGTAGCGGCGAGCGAGAGGGTTGGTTCCGTACTTCCGTTAAGGAGACCGACGCAGGGCTCTCGGGTCGTAGGGCGGCGAGCAAGGGAGAGACCGTATCTCATTGACCGTTGGTCAGCCCCGCGAGGGATCAATAAACACCAAGTTCTCCGTACGGACGATTCACAAACCGCGTTTCTACAACTGCCTTTGGAGGCTTCGCGACCAAGTCGTCGTGGATCGTTGGTACGGTCGGTCAGGGATTAAGATTTTACAAATCTCCTGCGGCTACGGATATCGCTACGTAAACAAATCTTTTACGCTCTATGGGACATTTGTTTGGTACGAGCGACATCGAACTTGTATTTTTCATAGTAGCTCCGACCGACGCTCGGAAAATATACAGATACAATTAAAAGAAAATGAATGCTCGATAGACTTTTAAACTTTGATTCGAACAATTCGCAAGCTGTCGAAGGTCGATACGTTGCGTTCATACGTCGTCGGTAGATTGTTCGTAGCAATGGAGCGGTGACGCTTCGGAAGGCGATAACGGGCTGAAAAATCGCCGTTGCTGAGGTAACGGAAGTGACGTGAAACCGGTGGAAGATATAGCACCAATCACGGGCGGCTGGAAGTTGACGCAATCAATTATGTTCTGGCCGTCTCTCGCGAACGGCGTTACTGCTGCGGTCGGAAGTAACAGTTTATTACTGCTGCAAACCCAACCCGCAAGCGTGTACGTAATACACGCGCGCATCGTCCGTCGATCGCCTTCGATCGGTGCTGTTGATCCAAATCGAGTAGTCGAGAGATACCTGAAAGGATGAAAATTAATCGACAGAGAAAGAATGGGACGAAGCAGGGCAGATTGAGATCGTATCGCTACGAACTGGGCTGATCGATAAATATAAACAAAACTGCAGAACAAGTAATGTTTAACGATATGATTTTTTAGTTAATCCACTAGCTTTAAATTCAGACGCAGGGCAGTTGACGCGGAACAACGATGCGTCGGGCATTGATGTCTCCTCGAGTTCGATTGCTTTCCTGTTTACGTCGCTCGCGTCACTGTCACTAGCCTCGGCGAAAACCAGAGATGGACCATATCTAAACAAGAAATATACGAATAAAATGTACCGTATAATTTGATATTTAACGCGTTACAATTTGTATCGAGCGTCTAATTTTGTATACCAAGAAAAAAATATTACGGTATCGGTACTGCATTAGGAAATAAGGTCGTTTCTATACACGATACGTTATACATCATCGTCTGGACGTTGTTAGTTTCATACCGACGCTGTACCGTGACCACGGCTTACGCCTTCTTAGAAAGTTACCTCGTTATTAGCGAGGGTTTTGCGACTAATTACTAGTGCGATGTAAACGAGTAGCGTAACCCTCGTGAATAAATTAGTATCCATCTGGCCGCGTCTTACACGTGAATAATTGCGGCGATTGTTTCTTTCTAATCGTTGTGGCACATTTCGAGCCCGGGACGATCCGTCACGCGCGTTACATGCTCGTTCTTCATTTTCATATCGCGCCGAGACACGCCGCGATAACGAGTCCTCCTTTCTTCCAGAACGGTTCGCCGTCGAGGCTTGCGCGCGCGCGAATAAGAGGGTCATTCGTTTTCTCGCTGCGCCACGTAAATTCATAAAGGATAACACGCTCGAGACCGTTCTCGAAAGAAATAACTGTCGGACTGGCTTGAAATTCGTGCCGACCACCTCCTGCGCGATTCGTCACGAAGGGACGAGAGACAGACGCCGCGCCGCGTACCTGGCCTACATGCGTCACGAAATCACGGAGAACACCCTCTATCCAAATGCAAACAGAACACCTACGATCGCTGGGCGCAGTCCCTCGAGGGCTGAGAATTTTTCTTTGTATATACATAAACTTTCGATAACTCCATAGGTGTTCGCTGAAAATATTTTCTGTCCTTTTTAGTTTCGATACAGTCAACAAAATCGGATGCAAAATAAATATGACCGTCGTCGAGTCGACCCGACACGGATCGTATCTCGATGTCAGCCGCGTCTCGCCCCAAATTTCGCCGTGTTCTTATCGTTTTTAGGTCGTGGAACACGTTCCATGGCCGTAGTTAGCCATAGATTAATTGCACAACGACCGTAGTGGACGAAAAATATTTGCACCGATAAACGATCCCCTCGAGCTCGTAAATTTCTTCGATATCCCAGGTCCGACGACGCGTCGCTTTCTAGCGAAAAGAAACAAAGAAAGTGCACGGTCGACCGCAGTCAACTTTAATTCATATCATTACGCCGATCTCGACAGCGATATACCCGAAATTATTGTATAATTACGCGATCGGTCGCGATCCTATCTGCTCCCGGGTTTAGCATTCGCTTAGTGCTTTTCGTGTTTTTACCAAGTTTTAACCAACTTTCACGTCGCTCCGCGAATACCCCATCTACCATCGAATCGAAGCTCGTTGCATAGCCTCTCGTCGCGGCACTTTTTTCCTTCCTTTGTGCTCCAGATTTACAATGGGCGAGCACGTGGCGAAAACACGAAAGCGACAAACTGCACGTAATTTTAAGACGATAACATTGTTACCTATTTTTCCCGTTATCGCGAAACGTCAAAGTCCGAGGCGCGATTCGTGCCTCCGTTCATTTATCGGTCGATCGTGATGAATATGCATGGTGGATTCGAAAGGAGCCGAATTTCGAGTAGATCGATTAGTCTCTCGTTAGGCGAGAACGAGCTGGCGCGATCGTTTGTTGTGCGTATACAACGGGAGCCGCGAACCTACGTGACGTGTACCGATCGACGATATGTAAATCACTGCGGCATCCCGTCTCCGTACGGCACTCTCGTTGCCTTTTATCCCTCCGCTGTACGCTTGTCGTGGAGCATTCGCAGGACGACCACCCTTGCGTTACACCCTTAGCGGCACGCTCGCTCGTCACGCACCCCCTTGTAATATATGTCAATTACGATTTCCACTTCTTGCATGCATAAGTGGTTCGCCACGGCCTCCTGCGACTCCCTTTCAATGAAATATAAGCTATTTGCTGTTGGAAAACTCGCGGACTCGACGAGGGTAGCGAAACCACCGGCATTCGCTGCTGGAGAGGCTCGCGACTTTGGACAATCTTTGCATTAGCGATCTCGGGCCGGTTGTTGCGAGAAATCAGGCACACGTGCTCGCTGGAGAAATTCTCGATAACAGGGATAGAGAGGAGGAAACGTTTCGTGCTAATCGGTCCGGCCGAATTAACCCGGCGATCTTGGCGCGAACAGCTTATCGGCGCACGGAGTCTTATCGACGTACAATTATAATGCAGCGCGCGTGCATCGAGTGGCGTGTAAAGATTGTGACGAATATTTCTTTTTTTTTTTTTATCGCCTAGTCGAACGCTCCACGACGCACGGTGGGTACGAAGCAACGTTCGTTGTATCGAAATGAAACAACTTTCGAGTGAAACGAGTCGATACAACACGTTTTGAGGGAGATCGCAGACGAATTCGTCCTTGTCGAATGACAGTTATCTCGTGGTTAGGAAGTTGGAGTATAATAGCGCAACGACTCGACCAGGAAATTCCCATGATTAGTTGTCGCAGACCGAGTCCCAGGAATCTCGGAATAACGCGTCGAAGAGTAAACAAAAACGATCACCTTGGAATATTCTCCATCACCTGTGGAGGGTAGCGTAGCTATCGGAGAGCTGTGACTCACTGTGCATTCTAGAAAGTCCGGGACTTGATTCCAGCGTAAAATAGAGGTCGCTGCTAATCGATGATGCATGACTAACAAGGGAACTTGTTCGCCTTCAATTTTAATCTACTCTTGTAGGGTGATGGATCCCCGATCCGTTCTTGTTGCTGATACAAAAAATAGGTGTATCAACTCCATATTTTTAGAGATGCAAGTTATTCAAGTTGCATACCTTGCAAAATACAACGCGATGATCAATCTCCGTCATCGAGGTGGTCGTGTCAGACTTTTTGAAAGCCTTCGACGGTAAAGAAAACCGAGTCGTGAGAAAAGGCGAAGAGACGCGTGACTTGTATCGAAGAGTATTCTTTGCAAGATTAAGTAAACACTAGGGGGTGCACGACCGAGGAAATGCGTGAAAAGGTTAAGGGTTGTAGTACCCATGGTGAACCCAGGTCCGACGAGGATTGCACCACCCACGCAATACTTTCGTTGCCACCGTTCATTCGATCGACGTCGCATACCTCGCAGCGGAAGATTGTTGCACCGCGACCTTGGCCTTGCCACGAGGACATGCATTGGCTCGCAGCGTACGAGCAACTGCGGATCGTAATTTACGGGGACAGCCTCGTAAATTACGATGAGAACGCGCTGCGCTCCGTGTGAATGGAGACTCGTTTCTTTTATTTCTTCGCCCTCGAGGTTTCGGGACCTTTCCACTCGCCTAATCGAACCATGGTATTCCATCTTGCGGCATCAGGCGGAAAGCTGACGCGAAGCCTTCCGAGCGAGTACAGCTACGGCAGGGTTCTGGCTTGTTGGGCCTCGACGAAGCGGTAATTCTGTAAAATTTAGAACGAAAATATAATCTTACGAAATATTTACTTGGAAACATAGGGGAATTTAACGTATCAAGCAAGCTGGTGTATTTAATTTGTTGTTCCTTTAGTAGAGCAGATACGTATCTAAACGTGATCAAGTTCGTCGAGCACTGCCGGGTTTAGTGAACAGGATCACGCAATATTCGAGAACACTTCCGAACCCTAATTTCATCCAGCGACAAGTCCTCGTGATTACGGGAAAAATTATTTTAAGAACGTAACTTATTCATAGGCCTACGTGGGCTTCGCGATAACTTGGATGAAAAAGATTGCAGGCCAAACTACCGATTTCGAGCCTAGGTGGACACTTTACGTTTGCGTTCGTCGGAGTAAAGTAACGAGGCACAAGGAGACAGGTGACTGACTCGCGAGAACTTGGACGAAGTAAAACAGAAGATCCATGATCGAAGACTAGCTCGCCAGGTGTTAAAAACATCGATTGAGAGGTTCCGTGGATGTTACTTGTGCATCCAACGATAACGCATGGTATAGGAATCGCACATGGAGTGCAACGAGGCGAAAGGCCTTCCAGAGAGTTGCAATAAAGAAGCAGGCAGCCTTGGACGGAATACACGAGGCTCGTTAAGGGGCTAGCACGTGAGAGATTTCACCGGCGACGGTGAAATTTATGCGGTATTTGTTATTCCGGCAGAGACAGCCGCGGCATACTGATCAGGGATGGGATCAAGTTCGATACGTACTCGCGAATCAACGGTACAGTCGTTGATTTCTGGAATGGAATCGTTTTCATTTTCGGTTGAACGGCGATTCTCGGTCCAGAGCGAGCGACGGGAATAGAAACATTGCTGTATGCACTTGCATCCATTGAATATAAATATCAAAGATACATTTACGCTATAATTGAATGTATAATGAAATTCGTCGAGTCTAGTCGGCGAGTCGCACTGACACCACGAATAAATGCGAACCGCATTCATCGGAAGGAAGATAAAAGTGGCTACCACCGCATACATTAATTTTACGCTTTGAGTTAACTTCTCGGTTGCACATTCTATAGGCTTAATAACCACTTTCATCGGAACGTTCCGCTAAATTATTCTCCCTGACCCGAATTACTATTGCCGATCCAACAGGAAGCGTATTTTTTTTCACCGTCAAGATGTTCCCTTTTCCAAGCCTCGTGCCTCGAGTCCATTAAGAGTCACGAGCACGTGGTCGGTGGGATTATATTGTCACGAGTACCTATTAGATCTTGCTAGTCTCGCTCTATCCATTGGACACGATACCTGGGACCTGCCATTGTTTTGCGTTATTTCGCGAAAAATGCTATTCGCAATTTACAGAAAAAAAAAAAAAAAACAAACAAAACTAGAAACACGTACATAATACTGCGAACGATTATCCTTGTATAAGCCGCTTGGCTTTTCAATTTGGGATTAAAATATAAGTTTCTGTTCAGCAAACGTGTTCGGCGACTAGGATAGTTGTCTGGAATAGTCAGCTTACGTCGAAAGTCCGGTAACTGGTAGAACGACTTTCGGAAGTAAAACAGTTTGGTCGCGGCGGAAAGAAAACAGTGACGACCTCAGCAAGGGTTAAGCTTACGTCACAGAGGATAGGCTGCCGGAAGGGTCGGTCGAGTGTGCGAGAATGAGAGGGTGGCACGACCTTCACCCTGTGTTAATCTATGCTTCCATTATCATACCGATCCCATCAGAGCTGGCATAGCATTGCAACTGCACGACGATGAACGTGGATCCGGTTATTGGTCGTCTGACGGCCAGACCACGTTATTTTTCAATGGACTCCTCGTCTTGGAACGCTTTAATAAAAACGCTTGCGTGACTATTTCTTTTGGCCAAAAAATAAATTAGTTATTTTGATTGAAATAGTATCGATCGGTTTCTCCCGAAGATCGGAATCTTTCCTTTTTTTTAAACAAAATTAAAGTGGCTGTTTTCGCAAGTGGAAACATTTCAGAGAAAACTGGTAAAAAAAATCGCGTACCTTGAGTTTGAGTTGCTTCCCGGAAGCAACGTTAATCGGCGCTGATAAGTCGAAAAGAATCGGTGTATCCTGCCGATGACAAGGTCGTCGAATCCCTGGCGCACTGCCGGCAGGTACGTGCGTGTCTCGAATTCATAAGTCTCCATATTCGACTATTAGCCTCGTTAAGGTTTTTTTTCCACGTTCCACAGCTGGCTCGCAGCGGCTACTTTGAGTATCGACCTTATTTAGCCAATCGCGGTAATCGTTCCGACGCGATGTTAGTTTCCGCCGAAGAACCTGGACCCTTTTAGCCTCCGAGGACTGTTCCGGAGGGGCGTGGACGTCCTTAATTCCGCGGAACGCTTTCACGCTCGTTTCCTTCCCGACCCCTCGTTACCATCGGTGTCCATCAACCTCGCGTTCAACCAAATTTCCACCTGCCCGTCATCGTTTGCCAAGCTGAAAAGTGTAATAGGAATACATCGTTACGTATCGAGGTTGCAGTAATATTGCGACAGAACCTAGTTTTCTTCAAGTTAAATTAGAATTTCATTCCACGACATAAGCATAAGCTAAAATAATACGAAGCTTGGTTTCTAAAAACCAAGTTCGATCAAGTTTAAAGATACGTCGAGCACGCGTGCGACCGACTAGTCATGACTCGATGGTCCCGTCTGACCGTTACTGTCCATTTCCACTTATGTAGGATCAAAGCGTGTTTCGACGATAATTTCCAAAGTAGGCGTAGCGTGACGGCAAATTATTCTAAAGATAGGTCGCGCAAGGTATCGAATCAAGGTGTGACGAAAGCCAGGCAGTTGTTCGTCATAATAGTTTATTCCTGGATGTTCGTAGTTCACCGTCGAAAGTTGGCCAAAAATCGTAGGCATCGCGCCGACCAACCCTGTACTTTGAACTAAATTTATCCACGATGTAAAACAGGCGACAAGCTTATTACATACAGGAAATCTTATATGTAAGGTCAACGCGAAAACGGGGCGCGGGGGTGTACGATAAGTCGGCCACGAAACGTTGTTTAGGACACGCGAAAGACGAAGCGTCGTATTCGAGAGTAAAATACTTGTTCTACGGGTTAATCGCAGAGTTAATTCCCCGATGATGTCGCGTCAAAGACCAGCGGCAAACGTAATAACACTGTCGAGGATCCTGGTGTATAATCGCATTACGACGAAACGGTCAGGTGGTTTGCTATGATTTCAACGATGACCGCAAACGTATATAAATGCATAGACGCGTGTAAAATATTTGCATACAAGTACATACGTGCGGATGCACCGGCAAATGTACGAATCCTCGTAACTCGAGGACTCGCTGTACTCGTATCTTGTGGTTTGTCCGGGAGTGGCCCGCGGGAAGGGTGGGTGTTTGGCCTTGAGACGCGATGGTTCTCCTCGCAAAAGGCGGAGGGGGAGGATAGGGGATGTTGCAGCTGGGGGGCTGGTTCTCCAGCCCGATGGCCCACACCCCGCTTCCAGTTGTCCATCGAGCTCAGTCGGAGCTGCACCTTGCGGCCACAGCCTTCTTCCTCGCGCGTCTCTTCCCTCGACGGCCACGTTTTCGCGTTTCCCTCCGCGATCGCGACTCTTAAGGTCGAATTCTTCCTTTCACGCTCGCCAGTCTTCCAGTCATCGCAGTTTTTGCGAGCAAGGGAAAGCCCCGTTGATCGCGTCCTTCCGTGAGTCGAATCTCTTGTAAGTCGCGAATATCTTGGTCGTCCCTCGAGCACCGATCGGCCCGATGAAGGAGATCCAGGGAGCACCGTGACTCGAGTGAACAATGTGAGACTCGTGACCGCGCGTGGTTCGTCGTTCGGTGAAAACGTTCCCCGTGGATCAGGAGCCGTGGATATCGTTTCGCGGGCGATTAAAGTGATTCGGGTCCACCATTGAGTCGGCAAGTTCCTCGTCCCGCTCTGACCTGGAGCCGGACTTTGGCGCCGGCTGCGAGAACGCGGACACCTTCAGCGACTCCGAGCTAGAATCCTGCGGCAACGAGTCCTGGGAGGGCTGCGACAGCTTCGTTGTGTTGATGAGCGACTCCTTTGAAGTTATATCGCTGCCGGCCGACATGTTGCAGGTCCGACAAACTATCCCTAACACGCCTGATTCGATAATTAATCTTGACGCGTTAATCGTACTTCGCCTCGTCCTTGATATACTTTAATCGCCGGATCACTTGCAAAGTAACCGTTTGTCGTCATTAATCGACTGGTTGATATTTCCAATCAACAGCCGGCCAGCTACGGAAAGAAAAGCAACACTTGGTACACGAGCCCCACTGGCGGAGGCAGCAGAGGTGGAGCAGGTGCCGGAGGTGGCGTCGGAGGATGGCAAAGTAGACCACCAGCGGTGGCGAGCCTTAGCAGAAAAGCTTCCATCACGGACGAGGCACCACCTCCCGGAGGTGGAAAACCTTCCTCGGGACGCGTCATACGGATCGTCAACAATCACGATCACACCGTGCAGGTAACCGAAGAAACATCCTACTATAGCCGTACACGCGAATTATTTTTCACTTGGTAAACTAGGTTACAAGGACACGTCGATAAATACAGACGACCAAAGCGATAAGAATACTCCTACAAATTTTCGAACTGATTTTTTAGTGTCGGGTCTTGTTGAATCTTCGCACTTCGCAGCCATTCGAGGAGGTATTGGAGGACCTTGGACAAGTACTGAAGATGAATGGTGCCAAGAGGATGTTCACAGTTTCCGGCCAAGAGGTAAAAGCATTTCGATCGAGTATCCAAAGTAAGCTGGCCAAATTCCGTGAAAATGAAACAAAAGAAAGAACGATCGTAGGAATTGCTTGCTCGTCGAAATTAGGTCGCGTACTTATTTCTGGGATAAGAAATTCTCTCATCCCTGACCGAGGCGAGTCTATCGGTGAAATCTTTGAAAGAAACGATACGGTTCGTGATCGATATCGCCGTTCGTGAACGACTCGAAACGTGGGCGACTCAAAAGTTTATCAGCGATTTATGCAAATCGAAGACATTGGCTCGGCATCGTACTTATAAAATCTGCTTGAATAATGTTTGTCCATAAATATGCATGTGGAGGGGAGGCGGGGAACAGAAGCGTCGAAACGAAGCGTGACGATATCGGGGTCGACTTCTTCGCTCTAAATGGAATAGGGTCGCTGCTGCTTAAATCTCCCATGAATCGCTCCGTTTTGCTATATCTTCCGATAGTAAAAGCTACAAAAAAAAAACTCTAGCCGTAAAATTCTCAGAAAAACAGACCGTTTACTGGAATATAAAATTCGTTCTTGATATTAAATTTACGTCTCGATTCGACAGCGTCAGGCACGTAAGAAACCGAAACGTTCTAGTCCTATATAGATCCTATAAACGATATAGTCCTATTTTTCACCGAACAAGAATAATCTTCTTCAGTCGTTGTACTTCACCGCTTTACAAAACAAACAAACGTAAATCATACCTCCCCGACAACCCAAGGAAGAGCAACTAAAGCTTCGATGCGAATAAATTGCTTATCTACATCCAACAAAATATTGCACGGAAATTTTCTTGTCGCTATTTTTCTTGCCCGTCAAATACTCAACGTCAAAACCGATTGCACGATTGCACGTTTCGTTGGGAGGAGGCGCGAGGGTGTATAGAGTCTGTAACTGGGTTGGAGGCCTGCGGGAGAAAGGTCAGAGATCCATCTTTTCAGGTCACGACCGTATATGAATTTCAAATTGGCCAATTTTCTTTGTCGAGCATTCGGCTGCCTTGTACATCATCGTGTACACCTCGAGCTGTCTACGTCAACGGTGACGTTCGAGATACGATCCTTATACGAGGAAATGTCCTGGTTCATTCATTTGAACGGCCTCCTTGAGAACATCGCCAGTCACGTAGCTAATCGAAACTACGATATTGGAAAATATACTTCTCGATGGCTCGACGCATAACGCACCGTTCAACAGCTATTTTATGCAAGAAGTAACGCGTGTCGTTGGCTATTTTCACAATTGAATTAAAAAGTGCTCGAATCTAAATAAATTTCAATAACATTATTCGCACGATGCTTGGGACGTGTCTGGTTTATGTACGAAGCGGGGAATTATATCAGAGATCAAAGTAACGATTGTCTCGAAAAGTAAGGATTGGATTCAGAATTGGTACCGTCGATAGGTCAGGAGTTTCTCGCAGTTGAGGAACGAATTCGCCGACGTGGACACTTTTTACTTGGGCACTGGGTCCGGGATCGGCATCGTTGGCGCTGTGACGGCATCCCCAGCGAGGAGATCCAGGTCGAGGGGGCCGCCCACAGTGGTCGAGGACATCGGTCGTCAAAGGCGGGCGCGCAGCAAGAGCAGACCGCGCGCTCTCTACGCCCCCGATTCCGACGTCGTCCGAGTAAACGGTTCTCCATGTCGTTTCACTCATCGTTCATTATCGTTGGCAGCTGAGACACGCGTAAATTAAACCGTTGTTAAAAATGAAATTTTCTTCTTAAAATTCATGATATTTATAAAGAAGAAGTATCGACATCACCGTTACCTACGATCGTACAACTCTGTTCTGTACCGATCGAAGCATTCTCCTCGGCTGGCAATGATCCGTATCGTACGTGTCCAACGAATAAGAATACTAAACGAACGCTGTCGTTCGCGAACAGACTACAGCGTCGTCGAGGTGTTGCGCGACGAACCAGCAAGGGTGACGATCCGAGGATTGAGACGGTCCTTCTATCCGCCGTCTCACCTACCACCGGTGGACAACTCGCCACCGGACAAGAAACTGCAACTCGAATGGGTTTACGGGTATCGGGGCACCGATACGCGCAGAAACCTCTGGGTTCTGCCCAGCGGCGAGTTGCTCTACTACGTTGCTGCCGTGGCTGTTCTCTTCGATAGAGAGGAAAATGCACAACGGCACTACGTGGGCCACACGGAAGACATCACGTGCATGGAGGTGACGTCGCTGATGCTTCCGGTACGTGAAACCGAACCGGATAACATTGAAAATCGTTGTACGCGTTCGTCCACAGGTTCACCCAAGCAGAGAGCTGGTGGCATCGGGGCAAAAAGCTGGCAGACACAGAAAAGCGCAACCTCACGTTCGCATATGGTCGACAGAGACTCTTCTCACTCTGTACGTGTTCGGGATGACCGAGTTCCAGATGGGCGTCTCAGCGTTGGCGTTCTCGCAGCTGGTGATGTATCGCGTTTCCCTCCACGCGACGCACAGCGGGGCACGGTTCCCAAAAAACTGACAAAAATTATTAAGAGTTTTCACGTCTTCGTGAAACTCGATGTAACAGCTTGCCCTGCTGTGCGACGCGACATCCCGATCGAAGTAGAAAAGAACGTTGCAACGTTTGTCCGTTGTTGCTCGCAGAACGGGGGCAGCTACGTTTTGGCTGTCGACGCGGGGAGAGAAGCGATACTCTCCGTGTGGCAATGGCAGTGGGGCCATTTGCTGGGCAAAGTGGCGGTAAGCTTCCACCTCTTCCATTAATATTTTATCGCGCGAAAGAATCGAAACTCGGAATTTTCTTTCGATAGACTATGCAAGAAGACCTGACGGGTGCAGCATTCCATCCCCTCGACGATAATCTCCTGATAACGCACGGTCGAGGACACTTGACCTTCTGGAATCGACGAAAGGACGGTTTCTTCGAAAGGACGGACATCATCAAACCTGTAAGTATCGATACGCGTAAAGAATGAACTGTTCGAAGGACTAACGTTAAAATGATAAACTTGCGTTAAAGCCGTCGCGCACGCACGTGACGAGCATTCAGTTCGAGCAAGACGGAGACGTGGTGACGGCGGACAGCGACGGTTTCATCACCGTTTACTCCGTGGACGCCGACGGAGCCTACTTCGTCCGAATGGAGTTCGAGGCCCACAATAAGGGCATCAGTTCCCTCGTTATGCTATCGGAAGGCACCCTGCTTTCCGGCGGGGAAAAAGATCGTAAGATCGCCGCGTGGGATTCTCTGCAAAATTACAAACGCATCACCGACACGAAGGTACGCAATTATCGTCTTTATTCGGATAAGAATTTTGCGAATTTCTCCGTGGAATATATTTCCAGCTACCGGAAGCAGTAGGAGGAGTGCGTAGCATTTATCCGCAACGTCCAGGAAGAAACGACGGGAACATTTACGTGGGGACTACGAGGAACAACATATTGGAAGGATCTCTTCAAAGAAGATTCAATCAGGTAGTTTTTGGTCACGGCAGACAGTTGTGGGGCCTCGCGGTGCATCCCGACGACGAAGTTTTCGCCACGGCGGGCCACGACAAGAATATCGCTCTTTGGCGAAGACACAAGCTTTTGTGGACGACACAGGTGAAACTTGGCAAGATAAGAAATCTTCTTGATATTACGTCTCGTTCTCTGTACATATACGTATGTATAGTAAAAGACAATTGGATCCAGGATGATTTAGAAGGCATCTTAAAAGTGTCCTTTGTAATATTATTCTAATCGAATGGCTCTTTAGGTGGGTTTCGAGTGCATTTGCATAGCATTCCATCCGTTCGGGGTGGCTCTTGCCGCAGGATCTTCGGAGGGTCATCTTCTTGTTCTCGCGGCGGACACTGGCACAGCTGTAGCGACTCTCAGAGTCTGCGGATCGCCATTATCGTGCATCGGTTACAATCCGAGTAAGAGACAACTGCTTCGAATTTGTCCAGTTCTGTATTATACTCTCTTTTCGGATACAGTATCTCGTACAAGTCTGTTTCTCTCGAGCAGCTGGCGAAATTGTAGCGATGGGGTCACAGAACGGCAGCGTGTATCTCTTCAGAGTGTCCAGAGATGGATTCTCGTACAAGAAAAGCAACAAAATACGCGGAACGCAGCCGCTGGTGCAGCTCGATTGGAGCTCTGACAGCAGATTCCTTCAAACAGTCACGCAGGACTACGACCTAGTGTTCTGTAAAGTTCTCAACGTTACTAGCGAATATCTCTATAGTTGAACACTGATCAACACGGAGAATTTGTTTTGCAGGGGATGTGAAAGCGTTGTCGTCGGAGAAGAGTCCTTTGGTGATGAAGGACGTGAAATGGTACACTCACAATTGTATGGTTGGCTACATGGTGTCCGGTGAGTGCACGCTATACCCTTTGATCACGATTACAGCGAGCGATTGTCGCTCTAATCTTAAACTGTTTCTATCCAGGAATGTGGAACAATCGCTATTACCCTCTGACGACGGTCCTGACGACGTCGAGTAGGTCAGCAGCCCACGATATGCTCGTCAGCGGGGACGCAGAGGGCTACCTGAGACTATTCAGATACCCGTGCACCAGCGCCAAGGCTGAATACGTCGAGGAGAAGGTGTACAGCTCCCTGGTGGCTTGCGCCAGATTCCTTTACAACGATCAGAACGTGGTCACCGTCGGTGGAACCGACGCTGCGCTCATGCTTTGGGAATTGGTCGACGAATAAGCGAAACTCGCTGTAACCCGACTGTTCGACGGCATTTGTATTGGTTCGCGATGGTTCACGATTCGATCGATCGGGAACCTTGATCCGTCCTCTCGCGGCTGTAAAGTCGTGAGACTGTTTTTAATAACGACACCGAGCAAACGAACGTTTCTCTTATCGTTCGGTAACGCGCCTCCAGCGTTTCGAATTTTATCATTCTGGACTCCCGATGGGTTTGTCAACATAGCTGGTGCTAGAAAACAATTTACAGACGCTGGAACTGTTTAGCGCTGTTGCTGTAGCACTACACTTTACGTGGTAGTGTACCGTTCCCAGAGAGGGATATTTTTTCACGTTTTCGAGCCGATGACGGTAACGCTGACGGTAACGCTGACGGTAACGCTGACGGTCAGCGCTTGTTCCCTGAAGCCGTCGGTATCGGTAGAATAATTATGGATGATTCTTCTTAACACGTAAGAAAACAATGACACTTAGTGGCAACATCTTGCGCGTATCTCGCGCAACGCTTCAGGGGCAAAAGAACCGATCAGCGACGAAAATAAACGAGGAGGAAGAGGATCCGTTTTCTTTCCCTTCTTCCAAACGTTTCAACTTCTTTAACGTACGCATCCAAAGATAACAACTCGATAACGATAACGTTATCGCGCTATAGCGTTACAGTACACGCGTTTAAAAGGCGTAAACGACAAAACAATACGACGTAGCCATACGCATCACGCGTGTCCTTAGCAGAGATGGGCAAAATTCTGTTCGAACGATGGACAACGAATAAAAGCATAATAAGGTAATTTATTCGTAACGTTCGTTCCATTGAATCGTTATTCAAATAAGCCTTTACTTATTCGTTCAACATAACGTACATTTCATGATTCGGATTATAATTTTGATTCGACGAATATCTTGAAAAGTTGTCGATCTTTCGTATGAGAATTTCGCCTGTCTCTGGCTCCGTAGAAATAAAAAGTAACAACGCGCACGTTCAGGAGTGTGCGATCGGGGCGCTGGCGCCCCTTGGTAGTCCTTAAGCAACGAAAATAGACGTGAACGAACCTTGGGAGGCAAGAAATATTTCAAACGATAACAAAAAATGCAAAACATACGCACCCTCCCATTACGTGGCACGACGGTTCGTGCTTGTTCACTTCTTCGTTGTTTCGAAGATTTTAGAGAAAATGCTGTTGCGGGTCAACGCGGCTCTCCGTCGTCCTCCCTTGTTCACACACCCGTTTCTAGAGGAAAATACAAGCGGAAATATAGTGTATACAGAGTTTATGCGATTATATTATTATATGATAAACAGTGGCTCGTTATATCCCACGAGCAAACAAAATTCGTACAAAACGCGAGAAATAAATTTCTTTTCTATAACGAAACCACTTAATAGATTAGCTACGTGTACTTTTAAATTGTTGTTCTGTATTAAATGTTTCTTTTACGTTCTGTAATTTATTCATTTTCTTGTCTCAATAAAAATGACGTTAAATCTAAAGATGTTCTTTGATTGTTTTTTTTTTTTTTTTTTTTTTGTTCACAAGGAGCAGCCAAATTGTATTTTGTCTTGGACTCTGTGGAGGTATGACGCGCCACTGACGATAAATGAATACATATGTATACATAGTCGTAGATGCAAACGATGGCACGATGATTTGTCCATTGTTAGTCGCCGTAAGCACGGGATCGTCACTGCCAAGGCATCGAGTTCGAAATTTCATTCGCGTCGTCCGCTATGCCGCCTAAATCGGCGCCACCATCGGAACGAAATCAATTAGCCTCGAGGTCACTTCCTCCACTTTTATCATCGGATTGTTCGATAAATACGAAAATGAATTTCAAAGTAACGCGATCTCGTGTGCTTGTTAATTAGAACATTTGTAATCTGTTAGTGTATAGAAACAAATATGGAAACGTTTTCAGCCCATCCACTTTTACGGTAAGCTACAGCCGAGAGGATAGATCGGAAGTAGAATGGGTAACGTTTGTCGGTGACCTTCGCAGACTACTCGATTTCGTACCGACTATATCTCGAGCTGCGAGCCAGCATGAACCTTGTTGACACATTGCTGGAACTCTTTTTTACGTTCTACGCTGTAATTTCGTAAAAGATAACCAGTCAAAATGATATCTATCGATAATTAATACCGAAGCTCGACTGTAACACGTATGATCCCTAATACGGCACCTTTAACGCGTACAGTGTTCGTACGTTTGCGTAGTGTGTGTGTGAACAATTTTTTATTAAATCATTTGCATCATCCAATTTCTATTCGGCTCGTGTTGCCCAGGAGGCGTACAGAGTTCTCCTTTTTGTTCTTGTCGAAGATGTTAGAGGTAGAGAAGATTTTGTGATTGCTTGATAAACAAAAACTCGAACATCGTAGACGTGCATCGTTGATGCAAATGGATTAATGTGTTACGTATAAATACGTATAATTAAAGATTGTGCATTGTCGACGTATCACGATTGCAGGCAGGACTGAATTTTGGTCTTCGATGCGCCCTGAAAAAGAAAAAAAAAAACAAAGTACGAAAAGAATTTAAACGATCCCCTACCCGTAATCTTTAGCGCGAAGTCGTAATAGTGTAGAGAAGCTATCTTACTACAATAAATTCAGCACATTAGATACACGATGGTTTGATCTCCGCCACCAAATCTTTCCATACCAGTGTAACTGTACATGTAGCAGGTCCTCGCGCGTAGACAGATGAAACACAGTTCGTGATTCAAAGCGATTCTTTATTATTAATCTGATTCTTACACTATGAGTGTTCCTGGTAAGCGTCTAAGTGGTTCATCTTGTTCTCGTTCTCTCAAACACAACATGGAAAAGTGATTGCGCCCGGAATCGATTTGTGCTGTTTCGTCGTCGCTCCGTCGACAGTACGCGCTCCGTTCCTCTTCTAAAACCATTTTCCTTCGATTCGAAATAGCAAAGAAAATACTGAAACAGTTTCCTAAGAAGTCTTTTCACTTTAGACGATACGATAAAGTAAATTTCTTGTTTACATTTTCGGATAGTATCCTTGAAGAAGACTCGTTAGCCATTATCATCGAAAGAGAAACCAATCGACTCGAGTATCGCGGTCAAACGGGGCTCTTATCGTATTTTCTTCGATTCTTAGCATACTTCTGGCGTGTTTAATCGCGTCGTTAACCGATCGACGTTGCACTGTAACAAAGAAAACGTACGATCATCCGAAACATCGACGAGAACGATCGATCGATTGCAGAAAATTACGCACAACGTACAGATGGAACGAAAACGTTCCTGGGCGCGAGGGACAATTCCGAATCGAGAGGAAAATTCCGCTCGAGCAAACAAGTGACCGTTGTTGCGACCGTTTCGTTCCTTCTCCGTGATGCACGCAGACTAGATAATACGATAAGGAAGCGAAAAGCTTCCAGAAGGTTTTGCAGTTTTCTTGCCTTCCTCTTTTCTCTCTCTATTACCGTTTTCACCGAGGAACTTTTTGCACAGACTTAGTTCACACCTTGCATTCGATACGCGTATCGAGTACTTCGTTATTATCACTTGTTTGATGCAAATCGATTACTTCCAAAGGCATACCTTAACATGTTCATCCGAATTCATTTTCATGTACCTCTGAAAAAACGTCAACTTTGTACAAGTTTGATAATCTAGGCATTTTCGCTATAATTTCATCGGTTGAATTGCATTCTTAGCTCGCGCTATTGTAATCCGCGTATCAAAAATGCGTACAGTGTAAACTAGGTCACAATAGCGACTACGTCGTTTAAAAATCCTCTACGCTTCACAATCTTTCCGTGTAACAGTCACAGCTGCGTAACGAGCGAACGTTCCACGATATAATAATACTTTTTTCGACAACACCGACATCTCGTCCGGATTGTTTCGCCACAATAAACTCGACGATCTCGGCTTTTAGCGTTTCCTTTTCTCTCTCAATCTCTCTATAAATAAATAACAACTATATGAAACAATACGCTCGGGTCCTTTAAAATTACAGAAATTTACAGGTCTACAAGTCTAATGTCTCCAACCGATAGTTCGCATCTCTATATAATAATCGTTTTGCTCTCATTCGCGCATTCTCTCCCGTTCTCTCAACTTCGCATTATCGAACGAACGAATAGAAAGAAAGAAAAGACAACTCATCATGGCAGAGATGGGCAAAAGCTCACACCCAGGTATTTCATCGATGATAATTACAATCAAGTTATGCTTCGCGTTGAACGAATAACCGTTCGATTCTATTCGCCATCTTCATATACAAATTCATTGTACAAATTCATTCAAATATAAATACTTGCTCATCTCTGACTGACTTATTTCGTTTCTGTTTTCTCGGTGAACTGTCGGTGCTGGATATCCCGCTGCGCTTCTTCTGTACAGAAATGACGAGTATGGCAACGATGATGCGACCGATTTTCGAATTACAATACGAGTTGTTCGTTTTCTCTCTGTCACGTCGTTTCTTTTTCTTTTTTTTTCTTACATCGAAAGACACGGGTAAAGCCAAAGAAAAGTCAGTTTTCCATCGACTAACTCGCTAAGTATATTGGGATCGAGGGCGAGGGGAGGAGAGGGAGGAGGAGGAGAAGGAGGAGGAGGAGGAGGGAAGGACGAGGACAGGAGGAGAAGGAGGAGGAGGAAGAGGGCATGGGCGTGCTACAGCAAAAAAAATGCAATATGCTCGTGATTAGGCACAGTACTTAGAATTTGTTTCGCTCGTAGCCTTGCCCTTTAGTTTACCTAGGGCATTGCGCCGTGAAATGCATAACACGTGTAGTCGGACTAACCTCAACTGGCCGTACAAGGCCATCGAGGGATCATCTCCGCGAAATCTCAACTCTACACCCTCCTACCTTCTCTGTACTCGTGGGAGAAGATATTGGCCGATCGAGAAAGCACCTCCATGTCCTCCATACCCCCCACTCCGTTTCGTTCACCTCTCTTACCTGATGTGTTTGAAAGACAGAGATCATACGCTAGCAGGAGACCAGTTGATTTTATTCCGACTACAGTCTTCCTTATACTCGAGATCGATTTCAGACGTGCCGATACAAATACAGTGAAACTCTCACCAGGTATTCTAAAGGGACGTCTATCCGTTTACTCAGCGTAACTCGGTGTAACTAAAAGTGTTTAAAAAAAAAAAAAAAAAAAAAAAAAATTAAGAAACAAAACGAACAGCGAAACTACGTTCTACAACAGTAATCGAAATCTAGAAACGAGAAACGTCACGAATAAGGTTTCGTTTCGTCGATCCGTATAAACAACGACAGCTGAAACGCTACTCTGTTATCGTCAGAATAATTCTAAACGATTCTTTCGCGAACGATCTCGCTCGCCCATCGTACAGAGAAAGGGCAATGGAGTGTTTTGGGATGTTTACGTGAAAATCAGCGAATGGAGGGACAGATAAAAAAAAAAAGAACAAAAAATATTCGCCAAGTAACTGGATAACCAAACAGGAAGAGTCTGTATGGTAGCACCGCTTGTTTTCTACGCAAAGAGCGTCGATAATAATTGTTTACGTGTTGTCCGAGGTCAGTTCGCAGCGTTGCCTTTCTGTTTGTTCTTCCTTGCACGGACTCCTCGATTCAGTTTCCCCTTCCCTCTGTTTCGTGATCCTTGTATCCTTGTAGTTAAAGTTACTCAAATCTTCATCGACTACCGATTCGGTATTTAATTCGTCCTTTCCCAGCTGCTCCTGCTCCAATCTTTTTACACTTTCGTTTGCAGAAATCAATCCATGAGATGTTTCCTCCATCGTAGCTTCTGTCCTCCTCGTAGTGTTGTCCAGTTTTTTCATCTTTTTTGTATCTATATTGTACACGTCATTTGCTGTGTTGATACTTCGTTTCCGTAACTTAAGATGCTCTGTCGTAGAGTTATCACGCGGTTGATGAGTTTGTTTATCCGAAGAGTTTTGGTTCTCTGACACACTTTTATCACTCTCGATGCTAACGTCCAAGTAACACATTTTTGACGCGTCCGATGGCTGACTATCGTTGTTGTGTCCCGGTGTGTCGTAACACGGTGTTGTGCTAGGCGCATAAGCGTTTTCCAATTGTTCGTATTGACTCATGCACTCGTTACTCTGTTGATTGACTCCCGACATGTTTCCCTCCTGAAATTCGCTATCGTCTTTTTTAAAGAGCTTCTGTTCGTACTTCCTACGCTCCACTTTTCTTCTAACCTCATCGCTTCGCTCTTGTCTATTTAACGTGCTTGCAGTCGGATTCTCCGTAGTTTCTTGTGCTGGGCCAGCTTTGGTGAACAAGTGAATTGGTCGTTGAAAGCCTTTCGATGGATGCGGAGGAATCGACAGTACTTCGCACTTGGAAAAACCAACTTCGGCGGACAGCAGGTACTGCGTGAAGTTGTGCGGTCGAAACTCGATACTCTGGTAATTTTTGTATATCCGCTCCTAAAATGTATGAAAGAATTAATCTGGTTTCAGAATTAAGGAAGCAGTTTAATACATAGGTTCAAAAATGATGCAACGCTTACGGTAAGATTTTTTTTCCTAGCGTAACTGCTCCAACCTTGAGGTTCCAATACTAAGACACCACCTGGACGTAACTGTGCAAACATACGTTTGTAAGCCTGTTTGAGACCAGCATCTCCAAAATTTAAGTGTATCCATTTGGTGATCGACAAACATAGAATCGTGTCGAACTGAGGTTGTTCCGTGCACAGGAGAGCATCGTTCTCAAGCACGTAATTACCCTGAAAATAAGAAAAAATATTCAGAATTCTCAAACTTCGAATGCTTCGCGTAGCTCGCGTGTAATTTTGAATTTGGTACGATACCTGCACAAAAGTGACATTATGAGGGAACCCTTTGTGGTTCTTACTCTTTGTGAAACCGGGAATATCAACTGGTCCATAATTGATCGGCATAGATATTGGAAAGAAGTTCACATCCTGGTGATCATCGTCTCCGTTACCAGCGGGAGATTGTACGCAATTAACGTAACGTTTCACATTTTTTCGAGCAATATTGATGAGCGTTCTATCGATGTCGATACCAGTAACGCTGCGAGCAGAGAAATCTCTTGCAACAGACAGAGTAATATGGCCAATATTGCACCCAATATCGAGTACATCTTTCCCAATAAATAATTCTTTACGTTGTGCAAATACTGTCAGTCTTGTGTCCAATTCTTGTTGAAAATTTCGGTATCCGTAGTACCTATTATAGTTACCATACTGATAACGTGCGTCCTTCTCTCTGAAATTTGGCATTGTTTGCTTTTTTTTCTTATCCTGGCTGGGCCGATGTTGCGGTCTAGGCTTCCATGCTCCAGGTTGAGGAATGACGGGACTTACTATTTTATCTTTGACATCAACTTTTCGTAATCTCTTATCCTTGGGTTCTTCCAAACCTTTCAAACGCAATTTATTTTTGTCCTTTTGTGGACTCTCTGGTTTCGATTCCTTAGGTTGGTTGGTTGGTGGCGAGTTTAACGATGCACGCTGTTGTTCGGTCTCGGCAGTTTCCGGTGCAATCAACTCCATGGGTTCCGTAATATCGGTTGCAATGCAATCTTTGCTTTTGGTTTCAGCTGGATCGTTTGCATCATCTTTGCCAGAACCCGAAGATGCTCGTTTTTTCTTCCTGTTTCTGCGTTTAGAACCCTTTTTCGTAGGAGATATAAGTTGCTTTTCGTATTCGTCATTGTCATTGTCGTTACAGTTATTCAAATTCAGAGGATCACAGATATTCGGAGGTATGATAACTTCTATAACCTCTTTTTTGTGCTTAGGCGTGGGAAGGGGGCTAGACTTAGGCGTAACAGCATTCATGGCTCTATTTATTTCTTCGTCTTGCATGCTGTTTAAATTCAACGGATCGCATATATTGCCACCGAGTAGAAACTTTGTTGGCGGAATAATAGCACCCTCCTTCTTTCTACGTTTATATGGCGGAAAGAATTTACCATTGCTAGAGAAACTCTGTAGACGTTTGCGTCCAAACTTGAAGTGGCGACTATCTTCGTGCTTGTGCTTCTTGTGAGAAGGATTGAATGTCTTCCTTGATTTCTCGTTATCCTTCTTGTTGATATGGCCCACTTTGGTGGGTCGATCGACTTGTGCGGATGACATTTTGTAAAATCTGAGAACGAAGAAAGATCATCTATAAACGTTGTACATTCTAGTCAAAATGTAATTTGAACAGTGATAAATAATGGTTTGAAAAATCAGATGTAAGCGGCCAACAAAAATTACTGAACACACAAACACGCTGTACATATAAATTCTACGTGTCAAACGAAAATATCAAAAACAACAGCTCGAGTTGACATAACTTAAATCTTATTGCAGAGACGATATACGAAATATTATGCAGAAACAGACGTTACACTTGATTTTTGAGTCGCTCCGTTTTATTACATGCATGCGTTGCGATTGCGTTATCGCGTAGAACTGCATCGCGTAAATGTTCTTTCAAGTTAGTATCGTTATTTTAAGGACAATAATTTTTCATGGAGAAACTAATCGTTCCCGCGAAGTCGTTACGATCAGAAACACTCGGCGTTCTACGTAAATTTATCGTTCCCGCGATCGCGCATGCGCAGATGATGGTTTATGCGTTCTGTAAACGGATGGTCGCCAATGCCCGACTTTTCGTTCCGTATTTCTTCCCTTAAATGCCATGCTAAATGAACAAACTTACTTTCGTACGTTTCGTCAACGACTTTGATCTCACCTCGACGCACTTCTCGCTCGCATTAAGCACAAAAATACACGTTTTTCACAAGATACACGGCACAGCCAGCTCAGAACCGTCGTTGTGCGCCCATCAACGATGGCGAATAGCTGCTTCGCTTGCTTCGCTTAAACTCCATTTTCTATGTGGACACCCGAAAGAGCCGAGCGCGACTTCGGGTACTTTCGGCTACGAAAGAGAATTTGATCGAGCAACATCAATTTTCCAAGCACCGCGTCACACGAAATTAGTTGAAAATCGCGAGAAATTTCCCAAGGAAACGGTGAAAATTCTGAGATTGCAACACAGATGAATATACGATATATGTACGTAATGTTTCTCGACTGATGAGTTAGGTAGCCGTATATAGGGTGTTCCCATTGCTGATACCTAATGTTACTCTTATGGAATTGTGGACAGAGCGAGCTGAAATTTGACAAACTATTATTTTATTATTATTTCGATGTTGGCAACAGAGTGATGTTCTTGAATTTATTTATTATTTTGATCAAAAACATAAATTGATGATACAAAATAGATATATAACGTAATCATTGCATTATCGAGTAACGAACAACGAATCAGATTAAAATTAGGAATACGAAATTTTGATCAGCCAATCACAGCTTTAGCGGGAATCGTTAGTTTCAAATAATTACAATAATTATAATACATTTAATCCCTGGTATGCGGCAATTATGAAAAGAATTTAAAATAAAACGTTGACAAACAAATCGAAGTGTTAATTATTGGTACGAGGATGGAAATTTCAAATCCGTTTTTAAACGACACATTTTATTCGTTTGTCGTTTGTTATAATATCTAAGCTCTGATTGGTTCGCGTTGCTTTGCAACGAACGCCGTGGAAGACGTAGCGTGAACCCCGTTACAGACGCGGCGGGTTTCTCGTTCACTCGGATAACTTTACTCTTCCCGCGGACGCGATATTTTTTTGCGTCAAAATTACGCTGTTCTCGTTTCCGAAGGGACGCTGTTAAACTTTTTCGTAACCAGTGTTATCATCTTTTGCAAAAAATAATCGTGTGTTTCCCTATTTTGTCATAATTTTTCGTTTGTCCCCTTTAAGCAAACGTCAGATTGAATTTCCATTAAAAGAAACTCGAGTAGATTGATAGCAATATGCCTCGCAGAAATTTTCTGTTCGAACGATTGGACCTCAACGAACAAATCGGAGATCGACGAACTTCTGCAATGTTGTTTACAAAATCACAATTCGGACGAGTGGAATTGTGTAATGTATCCAGAAATTTGTTCTCACAGGTATCATGAAAGAACCAAAATAAAAATTGTCGAGTTTAACGTAATTCTCGTAAATTTATTAAAGTTTTAGGAATCGATGTACATTTGCGTTTATTGTTTCCAGTTCAATTTATTTAATAAAGACTCGTTCGAGTCTTCCGCGAATGATTCGTCATTTTTTAAGACGCCACCGATGGAAATAAAAACGGTTGCAGCACCGAGGGCGCCAGTAAAGAATAAAAAACAGTTGAAGAAGGTAGATCTGAAACCGAAAAGGTTGCAATACACCGAAGAAGATTTGGACATTTCGAATACTTTAGATCGCGTTACGATTAACTGTCCGAGCAACACGTTGTCACGTAAACAAACGTGGAAAAAAATTCAATGCGATGAATCCGATGCCACGCAAGAACAAATGCGTACATTACATTCCAGGGTAGACAAAATTAAGTTACAAGCGAACGATAAAGAAAACGATATGAATATCGTAGGAAACAGATCTGAAAGTACATTAAACAACAGAAACGATATAGTACGAGTGTCGTCAGTAGGTAGGTGTAAACAATGTACGCATAGATTGGGAGGACACGAAGATAAACAGTGCGCGCATAGGTCGAAGACAAACAATAATATTGCCGTAGAGAAATCTTCCTGTACTCATTTTCGTGTATAATAGTATGTATGGCTAGTTGTTAATTTAATTATATAAGTATGTTACTTCTAAGAAGAAAAGTTGTAATAAGATTGTATAATATAATGCTAGTTTACAAGCGATAGATTTGTGACAAGTAAAATTTGTGCAAACTTCAACTGTGTTGGATGTTTTACTCTAGGCTTATTGTACAAGTGAAATAGGACTTTGCTTACTTTTTAGTGTCTAGTTCAAACACCATAGTGGAGTCGGAGAACCACAGCTATTTAGATTGGAAACAGAGATTGTACTGGTTACAGTCTCAAAGAGAAGTTGGTATATGGGTTGAGTGTTGTAAAACAAGTTGCAAGAAATGGAGATACATAGAAGATTGCCACGATCCATTGGATATACCCAAGATATGGTATTGCAAGATGAATAGTGGTCTGTAAATGTATTTGTAGAATTTTGTTTAGTCTTGTATATGTAGATACACATATTTAATACTAAAGTTTCATTTCATAGATGAGTCGATGGCATCTTGCGATATAGCAGAAGCATCAAAGCCATTACCGTTGATAGAAAATGATTACAACGCTGGGAGTATTGTGTGGGCTCGTGTACCTCGTTATCCATGGTGGCCTGGAATCATTTGCGACAGTGTTGACACTTTCATGTATTACAAAAAACGTAGATATTCACTGAAACCTGTAAGTTTTTCCCCTGTCTAGATTATTTCATTTATACCTACACTTAATAATAGAATCTATATCATTTGTAGCACCAGTACCATGTTACATTTTTCAACAAAGATAAATTGGAGTGGGACTGGATTCATATACGAAATCTTAAACCATTTGTAGCGTACAATTACAGCCAACTTATCACAAAGGTATTAATTTCTTTAATAAACTTAATTATTTTTACTATGAAAAATAATAACCTTTATTGCAGACTGTATTCAAAGGAGTAGATTATAAAGACTCTCTAATGGAAGCGTATGAATTAGCCTCGAGTGCTTTGCCATTGCGGATCGCTGAAAGGCTACAAAAATTTGATTTCATAACACAATATGACAGATTTTATAACGACTATACTAATAATAATTTAAATAACTCAGTTGATAGAAACGCTCAAAGATTAGGGGATACAATACAACACAATCCCTCCACAAGAAATTGTCGTACGTTAAGAAAACGGAAGATACAAACATCATAATTATATATATAATCATACTTTCTATATACATATAGAACAGTTATTTAACTTGATTTATTGGACTCCTTAATTTGTAATTCAACTCAATGTATCGTACATCTCATTACATTTCATATGATTATTTTCACTGACGATATCCAATATTTCGTATACATTACTTACAAATGTAAATAAACGTACGTTGAAATCATCTATACGATTTATGAACTATGAGTAACATGTTAGTGTTACTGTTGTTTTCTACGCGTTACATTCGGAAATCAACATATAGGTTATGATCAACCGAGGAACTTACCGACCGACTATAACGTAATGTTCTAGTTGCGCTGAGCTACCGTACGATAGTAGCACTGGTACAACTACGATATTATGAATAATTTTTAAATTGAGAATTTCGAAACGTTAGAAAATAAAGTTGAATTAATCGTTTTCTAACGCGTCCTGATGCTTTGATGTACCATTATTGTTTATAAAATAACAAGATTTTCGTTGAAATATAATAGACTTATTTATTTTTTAATTTATATATTCCTCTAACCTCTATGCACTCTAACTGTCACTCTCTCCCAAGTGGCTCTTTGGGCATCGTCCTTACGCAACAGCGGATTTACATCTGCCTCGATCCGTGCAGTTTCAGTTTATCATTTCCAAGTAATTGAACTATAGTTTTCGTAATCGAAACGATCGATTGTCATGAGATAAAGGCAGTTTTAATGATAGTTTTCGATAAACGAATCAACGATGGATCGTATTTTAATCCGTTTAATTAAGACCACTTGTCAACGCAGACATTACCCTGTGAGAATGATCGAGATAGAGACCAATTCCTGCGGATCATCGTCGTACAGCTGTGTATCGTAATTAAAATCGAAATGTTTCAAACGGATCTGGTCGATGCAGCGTGTCGGATGATGCTGGTTACCAAGCGACGTTTCTTAGGTGACGCCGTCATTTGATTCTGAATGTTCCTTCGAGCGGAAATCGAACGCACATAAACGCTTGTAAATCGGCATGTTAATGTGGCGCAAAGTTCGGTGAGGTCGTCGGGTCGACGTGACGTCAGCGGATACGGAGACCCTCGATGTGGCGAACTGCGACAATATTTGCGTGTTCTCAACGCGTGATATATTCGCGGCCAATATATCAGCTGGCAACAACGGTTTTCGTCGTTTATCACCGAGCTTTGCTGGAAATAAGCATACGCTAATGGAAAGTAATCGATTACCTTTATCGTTCATTCGGTCCTTCGTTCGAGTCGTTGGCGAATAATTGGTATAGATTTAAACGAGTATAGTCGCGACAAATGTACAAGTGTTGAGTGTTTCGTAGCAAGTGTTCGATGGTCGGTCGATTGGATACAGGCCCGTACATGTTTCTAAGTAAGAACGAATACTACGGATATTTAAAGGTATTTCGATGTAAAGAAATGAAATTTGAATGGATACTGTCTCGAGATGGTCCGACAGTTGTTCCGATGACCCGTGGTCCGCTCTGATCCTTGGCAGTTAACACTCCCCTCCACTGCTGGCCCCAGAAAGAAAGAAAAAAGGAAAACGATAACCCCAGATACCGAGGCGGGCGCATACGTGCTTGTTATCGTTCTCGTAATAGTCGTACGATCGTGTTGCTAACCAAGTACTCCGGTTATCTGACCTGCTCGTCCTTCGTACAATTTTGTCTCGTTTCTTCGCACTTTTCCACGCTCGTCCCTCGCCAGGATCGATCGTCGATTACGCTACTAGACTCGTCGATAATCGTCGACCTTTATCTTCTTTTCTTTCCCATTACCGGCTGGCTGAACGATGGAACAAAAAGTAGTTTAGATCGGTATTAAATACGAAGATACCGATTAATTCGTACATTGTACGTAACAGGATTTCTATTTCCTTTTGCGCGTTTAACGGAATGGGAATCCAAAGATGTTGCGTTACATCGAAGCAGATTCTTGCGTTGGAAGAATTTCTAACGAGCAATGGAATTTTTAGAAACGTTTCTATTAGTACGATAAGGTTTATCTTTCGAAGCAACACGTGTACTTCCAAAATGCCCCTAGATCTCCTAACAGAAGTCCCAACGCGTAGCTTGGCCGTTCGATGGATGACTTATTGTTAGTACTCCAAGTTACCAGAAAAAAACCTATTACTTCGAGGCTAGAAATAACTGCGCGCAGTGCGAGTAACGAGGATTGTACATACCGAAACTATTTCGGTGAATCTCGGGAGCCGCTGTAACCGTTGAAACGGGGGTTTGTATATATTTTTAATGCGCCCTACGTGGCTGCGCCACTGCCGCAAGAAATAACTGGGAAAACGTTGAACTCGCCACGTGGAAATTCTATTTCTTTTGCGCCTTAATTGCGCCCCCGAGCGGTCTCGCGCACACGAAAATTCTCTATAAATAGTATTTTGCTCGACGATCGTATTGTTACGAACTCGCGAGCATCTCTCACCGATCGTAGTTGAAGGTTATAGCGTAAGTGACGCGTCCACAAACTCGACAAGAGGAGTATGTAAATAGTTACAGATACGAGTTCATCGTTACGGTAGTTGATTTAATTTCGATCGCGTTTAAGGGCGTCTGTCCGTGCTTTCATAAAGTAGCACCAAGAAGGGACATGTGCAGAGGCGTTATCGACGCTTGGAATGATCTGGATATTTTCAAATATGGCTTATGGTAGGTAAAGAAATTTAGAGCTGGGATACGCGCGAACGAAAAGTTTGCATCGAACGCGTGCCCCTTCCGTTCCTGCCTTGTCACAGACCTGATCAGGATATTTTCCCGGATGATTATACCGGAAGCGCGATATAGTTCAAAAGTGAAGGAACACATAAGCCACGCCTAGGTATAAACGAAGCGAAATACATGCAACGGTAGGTAGAAAAGGTCGAGTCGGGATACAATTTTCTATCCCAGTCCTCCGTCCTTTCTTTTTTTACCATCGACCCAATACGCCGCTCCCATGTTTGTCAACGACGTACGCCCCCATTGTTACACGGTTCCTAACCGACGGTGCTGCCACGAAACGATCAAACGGAACGTTCAGCCGCGAGGCTCCCGAAGATACAGCAAGCATGCGTTTACGACCAATAAATGTCCTTTTATGAGCAAACGTCCCGCATTCAGACCCTGGTATTCGTGCTCAGAGAGGAAACGCGTTTCGATACTCGACAACGTTCATTAAAGGTAATTAAAATGGCCTCTCCGTTACGTGATCGTTTCGCGACGATCGTCGATGGAATTGATTTAAACGCTTCGCAGCGGAACAGCCCGCGACCGATAAATCGGATTTATCATTTACCAAATGTTGCCTTTCCTTCGAAGAAATCTAGCAGTAAAACTCCTATCCAAATCGGTCCAATGGTCTTGGAGATTATCGAGGACAAACACTCGAAGACGCTATCGCTTTGTAACATTGGTATAGGTAGATATCTGTCTATTCTAATATCCATCTACATATATATATATATAGATACAAATATACCACCAAGACGCGACTGTAAACCGATGCATCGGATCTCGACATTTTTTTTATTCTTAGACAGGTATTACATCATGGTGCGGCGGTGATCGTATCAGCGCAGAGTTCCTATGACAGTAGCCAGTGATAGGAACTATCACCTCGGTTATTTATAAGGTTAGGCGCTACGACAGCTTGGATGCACGTCGAGTACGGAAACTAGTGGCGCCATGGATATATACGGTCCCGCAAAGTAACAAACGATTAGCCATAGAGATTACGAGCTGTGCTACGTTTGATTAAACGTGAGAATACATCGAGGAGGTTAGACAAACTTAAAAGAAGCGAGAGCTTCGAAGCACAGGGGTCGTTCGAAGGTAAGATTTCACGGTCTCCGAGGAGTACGATATGCGAAAGAATTTGAAGGCGACGTGTCTCGCTGCACAGCAATCGTTCCTAAATGTGTCTTTGAAATGCGTCCCGGTCAGGTCCTCCTCTAAATGCGACTTTAACGACCACTGCGAGGAACGAGGAGAACGGGGAACGACCTGCACGGATTCGGGCGCGGTCAATGCCGTCTAGATGTTCTGTTCTCGCTATTACTATCCGGACCGCCTGGTATTTTCGTCATGGCCTACTAATACACTCCGCAAATTCTCGCCCTGCCACGGCGGCCACTGTTCGATGATGACGTGGTCAAGGAAATATGCCGATCGCGGGCCGTGTCACTGGCCGTGATGGCCAATTCCCCTTCCCCTCCACCCATCCACTCTTCTTTTCCTTCCTCTTTTTATTCCTTGAAAACGAGCCAACCGAACCCGCTGCATCCTCGCGTCCCGTCTTCGAGAAGCGGCCAGGAGAGGATCGGCAAAAGGGAAAACGAAAATACGCCGAGTTTCTACTCGATTCAGGTTGCCCGGTGCCGGCTACTGTCACGCGGTCCTCTACAATTCTTCGTGCAGTTATCTTTTAGAAATTCCTGAGCGAAACCCGTCCGAAGAAACTCCTGCGTCCGAAAGACGTACGCAGACGCGATTGCAAGTACATACGAGCACAGAGCTGTGGTTCCCAAACTTTACGGAAGTTCTTCTAAAAAACAAAAAAAAAAAAAAAAAAATGCGGAAATAAGGAATCGTTCCGTGTCGATAATTCTGTTTAACGCTGTACACCGGCCACAAAAATACCGTTCCAGTACCACAGCCAGGAAACGTGTCGCGAGGAAGCGGTCTCCTCGAAACACGTGTCCACTCGAGCCATGCACATGCGTTTCGTGTACCCGTGGCGGTGCACACCGATGCCGACGGTTCTTTAAACGATAAATAAATAAGACGAGAAGTCTAGTATATTGTAACGAAGTAATCGAGTCGAACTAGAGTTGGAAAAATTGTAAGCTAAAAAGGATTCGGTAGGGCAACGCGAAGGTGTCTTTTCTTCCTTTGGGGGAACGTTGAATTCTTCTGTTAGCGCTGTAACGAGGAAAGCGGCATACTAATGCGTTTAGAGCGCATCCGAAGGAGAATAGAATAGGCGCGGATAAATATTCAAGGAGTTCGGGCTTCCATATATTCATGACCAACGTCTTGAACAAAAAAGAAGACGCATTTGCATTTGAAAAACCGGACTATTCGTGGGCTAGAAAATTGTCTATATTCCGTTCCCGTGGGATGTGCAGCGGTCGTTCCGTGGTGGCCGTTTTAAGGCGAATAGCAGCGTTTAGCGATTCACGATACCGAAGATAAACCTAAAGATCTTATTACTCGGAACGAAAGATTCTTCGAACGATCTTTCGTAGCGAGTGATAGCGAGCTAATGGCTGAGAACTTGTAATAAGATCTTTAGATTTATCTACGGTATCGGAATGCTGTTCGCCCTATTTCGTAAGCGGGATCGGGAACGCTAGTTTTCAGCTTGATAAAATTTTTTTAATTTGGGACAACGAGAAAACACAGGGTCGTCGGGTCATCCGTCGCCGATAAGATATTACCGACGTTGAAATATAAGTGCACTGGTTACGTAAAACGATAGAACGAAGAACGGAGTGAGATCTCATTTGGTTAAGACGATGTAAATCATCATTAGTAGCTGCTTGAGCGTTTCGTTAGAACGTGTATCGAGACGGGCAATCGAGGCAGATAAAAGATTGCGGTGTCGCAATTCTCGTTGGCCGCGATATCACTGATAATTAATCGACAATTTTTTCTCGAGCGATCGCTACCCATCGTTCCCCATTTTTTGTTTCTTTTTTTTTTTAGAATACCAAATATAACGTAGTTCACGAGGTAAAAAGATAAATGCCGCAAGAGTCCTGTAAACGAGGCGTTATCAACCCGCGCGCCTTGAACTCTGTGACGAAGCGTTGTGTCATAGAGCGTCTTAAAATATAGCGATATGTGCATATTTGCAACTGTTACGCGTCGCCTTCGACCAGTAGCGAAATGTACCAATCGACGCGCTACTTACAATTACAGCTACTATCGGTATTATGCATCATTATAAATCTCTATTTCCGTTACGTACGTCTCCCGTGATCTGTCCTATTATGCCGTAGAATATAGTTTCGTTCCATGCTTCCGAAGGAATTTTAACTTGGTCTCAACGACATGCTATTGGTTGCGCGGAATTCGATCTTGAACTTTCTCCGTTTCTTTATTTCTCTTTTAATCGAAATTAGGATGAACGGTCAGAGTGCTGGAAGCAGTTAAAGAAATAATTGGGAGAATACGGTAGCGATGCGCAAACGCAGTCATTGTCCGTACCGCCACCTGCGTCATTCACGGGGTGCGTTCGGGCGCATCCCCGCTCCTGGTATCCAGCGCGTTTCCGTCGACTCGACTCGGTGGAACGAACGCACTCTCACGCGCCGTCGTTTTATCCCCACCAGCGATCGGCGCGTATGGAAACGCGCACCCGTGACTGAGTGGAAGTGGTAGAGTTCTCGGCAACCTCCGGCCAGCTCAGTCCGCGTCGCTCGTTCCTCCAGTTACGGTGCTCGGTCGTGTTCGAGTAGTTCCAGTCTTCCAGTTCCGAGTTCGCCTTCGTTCGGAGTACAACGGTTGTTCCTCGTGTTCCTCAGACTTGAATCGTCGCGTATCATTTTTAAACTTTGTTTCGATTTCGCGTAGCAAGTTTCTATTCGCGACCGAGATTTTACGAAAACACGCGAAGAAGCACGATGGCGAAGCCGGTTCGTTCGCATCTTCTCGCACACGTATTCGCGAAAGAGGAAGGAAGTCTA